AAGATTAAAACTGAAATAGGTAAGAATTTCCAGAACTAACTAAAGCTGCATTCAAACTAAACAAGAATAGTAACATGGGCCTAAGTGTATTGGGAAAAATGATTATAGTTTTTTTGTAACTCTTGGTTGAAACATTGCTGCTTCTTCCAGACTAAGAAAACCTTCTCTTAAGACATCACTGATATACAGAAATAATAAAACAAATTGAAGTATTTAACTTTTCTCTCTACCCTAAAACCTCTGAAATTCAAAAGGTCTATCAGTAAGTATTCTTTCTTCCATGGCAATCACTCCTTGTAACAGGACACCATTGGAAACATTCGTTATTTTACCAAGGCTTTGACTGGAATATCATATTTGAGAGAGACATGCAGAGACTCAGATATGACCAAACAGCTTTAAGGAACTAAGGTTGACTTTATGAAACCTTGAGCCATAAAGCCCGTTCGAAATGTTGGCCTGATACTTTGCTTGCAGAGTTCCCAGCAGCCTTACCAGGTGAGTAAAGAATGTCACTTCCTGGCAAGTGCAGGAACCTCAGGATATATTGGGGACCTCATGAGTTGGAATTTACCCAAATCTACAGATATTGCAGGCATGTCTGATGGCAAGCACTTGGCTTGGCTTCTGGCCTGGAGAAGCTACTAAAAGTTTAACCTAGAGATTCCTTATAAAAGTTCCAGCAAAGCAGATTCTAAAAGATCTAAATGATCAATCATTCTTGCTGAGCTTATGTAAATAATTAGACCAAGTTTGTTAAAATTGGACTTGTTTTGCAAACAAATTAGTCTTGATTTGGTTATCTCTGGAAATGATGGCTATTTTAGAGAGAGGAATTATGTTTCAATAACACATCTTTGCAGATGTTAAATCCTAGTTTTGGTTATTCTTAAATGTTTGCCTAAGCTAGACAACTTGAGGTAAACTTCAGAGAAATTGCCACAATAGCTCATGTATAGACAATCTTCTTGCTTGTTATTCTGTGGTGATCATACAGGACCCCGCAGGCAAGTGATTAATTAGGATTAATTCTCCAACAACTGTAACTCAACTATCACCTTGACCAGTTCTGTGTGGCTGGTATCACAAAATCACTCCTTAAAAGCCACTGAGTGGGGCGCCTGGGTGGCTCAGTTGGTTAAGCGACTGCCTTCAGCTCAGGTCATGATCCTGCAGTCCTGGGATCGAGTCCCGCATCAGGCTCCCTGCTCAGCAGGGAGTCTGCTTCTCCCTCTCCCGCTCCCCGCTCTTGTGCTCTTTCTCTCTCTCTCTCTCAAATAAATAAATAAATAAAATCTTAAAAAAAAAAAAAAGCCACTGAGTGTACCCCACTCTATGAGGTTAACTATGGACTTGAGGACATAATGGATGGCCCCACTTTCTTTATGATTGGATTGGATAATGTACTTGGGGATGCCCTTATCTCTTGACAAGTCTCTCAATTGCCAGTGATTCCTTAAAATTAGGATATTGTTAAGGCTGGACCTCAAACAAAGAGGGCTTCTTGATGGTTTTATTCCTTAGTCATATTTGTCCCAGGAACTATCTCTATTAAAATTATAAGTTGTAAAGTTATAAGTAGAGGCTTTAGCCAAGCATACAGTGACCACCTTTAAGTATGACATGGCAGTCAATTATATGACTGGCTCCTACTGGACCCAAAGGCTCTGTGGCTCTAAATTGTGGCCATGGCTTCCCCCAGGCTGGATAGGCCGCTGTACTCTGGGTTTTGCCTGGGTGCATGGACACATTATTGAAACCATTACCAACCCTTCTAACCTTCCAAATTTAAAACAATGTTGGACATGTTCTGTGTCTCATTGGTACGACCACCTAGCATCCATCTTTGTTTCTTCTTTGAGATTGGAGGATATTCTTTGGCACATGGAAGCTCTTAATAAGTATATGGTCAAAGCCCTAAATGACACTCAAAATAACATTTCTCTATTAAATACTAAAGTAATACAAATGCGTGAAGAAGCTTTACAAAATAGAATGGCATTAGATGTTTTAACTGCTATACAAGGTGAAACTTGTGCTAGCATAAAAACAGAATGCTGTGTATACATTCCAGATTACCACAGAATACTTCTGTGTTTCTACCTGACATGAATACTCAAATTGGCACTTTCAGTGATCTCTTTCCTTAAGTGATCGCTTTAAAATCCTAGACTAGAGGAAAATTATCAAAGGTCAACTATCAAAGGTCTTTTATTCAGGCTTCTCTTTCTCATTATAATATTAACCTTATTTTGTTGTCATTTCCGGTGTCTCCCTGCCTGGTGCCAAGACTCCTTCACTGCCATAACTTGCAGCTGACAGCTGATCCTTTCTACTCAAGGAGGTTCATATATGCTGTCTGCATTGGATTTAGCTGTCTCCCCCTTTCATAACTCCCCTGTATGTTCTCCAGCTGACCAATATTGACCCCTAGGTAGGGACATCTCTACACCCCTATTCAGCAGGAAGACGTTACAGAAAATGAGACCTTCTCTTCAACAACCTTAAAGATTTAAGGATCAAAATTGTTCAGGGAGGGAAATGATGAGGGATCAGAAGGCTAGCTGAAGACAAAGCATAAGCTGACACCCTGCAAATCGTCCCCCCCTCCCGGGGTGGGATCTGTGTGATATTCTTCCAGGAAGCTACTTAATAAAACCTTTGTCATGAGCCCCTTGTCTTGCTGTGTATCAGTGGGGATGTATATCCGTGTGATGAGGGATCAGAAGGCAAGCTGAGGACAAAGCACAAGCTGACCTCCTGCAACCTCCCCTTGCTACGCCAGGGTGGGATATGTGTGACAATCCTCCAGGAAATTTCCAACTTGAAAGTTTCTTAATTTTTTTTTTATTTTTAACCCATTTGAATTTTTTTGGTAAGATTTTATTTATTTATTTGGCAGAGAGGGAGAAACAGGCCCCCTGTCGAGCATGGAGCCCGATGCAGGGCCTGGATCTCAGGACCCTGGGATCATAACTTGAGCCGAAGGCAGTCGCTCAACCAACTGAGCCACCCAGGCGCCCCGGAAGTTTCTTGATGTTAATGCCTTGCTAGAGGAGAAAACAACCTTAACTTGACAATGAAAAGGCATCCAGTACCTCGTAAGTCCTCTTTAGCATATGAAAGTTCTTTTGAAAACCTCCCTTTTCCTTACCTCCCCCAACTCCCAAGTATATAATGAGTCACCTTTCAGCAGCTCCTTCTGCCCACTGGTCCTTTCCCCATTCTTTAGTAAAACCAGCCTTATGCACCAAAGGCGTCTCAAGAATTTTCTTGATCATTGGCTCTGGACCTCACCCCACCAAACCTCACCTATATTCCAAAACCACATCAGGTGGGTAATATGCTTGGGGAATGATTGCCAATGTGTATTTTGGGGAGTAGAGATAACGGAAGTTTCCAAAGGAATTTTTATATGTTAAAGTAGACTTACAGGATCTTGGAGCGTTGGGCTAAGATTGCCTTCTGCCCTTTGTCAAGTATTAACATCGAGGCAGCTGAGTCCCTAGAGGAATGTCACTCTGTTTCAAGGACTTGTCAATGGGCTGTAGTAGCAAGGAAATTTAATAATTTTCTTCTGCCTTTGTTTCCCACATCAGTAACGATATTGTAGTTTTTTTTTTCTTTAAGATTTATTTATTGGGCAGGGGGGCAAGGGCAAAGGGAGAAGGGAGAGAAGCAGACTTCCTGCTGAGCAGGGAGCCAGTAGTGGGGCTCAATCTCATGACCCCAACATCCCAGTCTGAGCCGAAACCAAGAGTCAGACGCTCAACCTACTGAGCCAACCCCCGTGCCCCTGTTATTGTAGTTCTATAGGATATTTTTTTTTAAAGATTTTATTTATTTACTTGAGAGAGAGAGAGAGAGAGAGAGAGTGCACGAGAGGGGGTAGGGTCAGAGGGAGAAGCAGACTCCCCACTGAGCAGGGAGTCTGATGCAGAACTCCATCCCAGGACTCCACAATCATGACCTGAGCCAAAGCCAGTCGCTTAACCAACTGAGCTACCCAGGCGCCCTATAGGATATTGTTTTTATTCTGAGAAACTACATGGGATGGAGTTTTGGAATGTTGTTTAAGTCTGTAGCCCACACCAAGAACGAATTTTTGAGACATCTTTAGTGCAAAAAACATGATTTTATTAAAGCACAGGGATGGGACCTGTGGGCAGAAAGAGCTGCTGCACTGGGCTTGTGAGAAATGTCTGATTGTATACTTGGGAATTAGGGGAGGTAAGAAAAAGGGAGGTGTCTAAAAGGACTTTTCACAAGCTAAAGACCCTCAGGACACTGGAGGCCTTGCTATTGTCAAGGTTGCTTTTTCGTCTAGCAAGGCATTAACATGAAGACAGTTGGGAGCTTGCTGGAGGAATGTCACACACGTCCCACACAGGAGTGGGGCGGGGGCGGTGTTGCAGGCTGTCAGTCTGTGCTTTGTCCTCAGCTTTCTGCTCCCTCATCACATGTGACAGTATTTAATTATGAAATGAGTTATGAGATTTCATGATGTCTGCAGCTTACTTTTAAATGATTCAACAACACAACTTACTTTCAAGGGGTTCAACAACAATACCTACATACCGGCGCAGAGAAAATGAGCAGAAATGGCGAAATGCTAAAAACCGTCTGCTCTTGGAGTAGGGTATACAGGTGTTCACCGCCCTGTTCTCTCACCTCTCTACATACAAACGATCACAAGTGAACGCTGGGGCAGTGTATCTAACACAGCCACTCCTCGCGGAGCGGCTCGAGCACCGGTGGCGGCCAGCCCGGGGTCGGAGGCACTGCAGGGTTCCGTGCGCCGCTCGGCCCCGCCTCGCCGCCGGACCCCGTCTGGGCATGCTCAGAAGCCCCGCGCACCTGCCCCGCCCCTCGGGCGTACGCGTGCGCGCAAGGCGCAGGCGCGCGGCTCCCGGTGGCACTCTAGACACGAGCTGCAGGACGCGGCGGACCGCTGAGGTGCGGACCTGGGCTGATGGAGCCGCCGAAGGTGGAAAAGTTCAGCACCGCCAATAGGGGAAACGGGCTGCGCGCCTTGGCGCAGCTGCGCCCAGGAGAGCTGCTCTTCCGCTCGGATCCCTTGGCGTACACGGTGTGCAAGGGGAGTCGTGGCGTCGTCTGCGACCGCTGCCTCCTAGGGTACGTGCGGAGCGCCCTCGCCCACCCGAGACCCGGGCGGCGCGGGGTCAGAGCGCGGGGGATGTCGTTGGGCCGCCCGCCGCGGGACTCCGCCCGGCCTTGGGTGCGCACGTTTGGGGGCGCTGCCCGGGTACCCAGCCCCGCAGCGCGGTTCCCGGGGCGCGTCGCGGCTGGCAGGGGGCTGGGTGCCGGGGGTTGGGGGCGTCCCAGGCTCGGGCCCCGCCTTTCCGTCGGGCCGAGCTGGGCCCGCTAGAACCCCCGCCCGTCCCCCCGGGCTGCCGTAGGAATGGGAGGGAGCCCGTGGGGCAGAGCTAAGGGGCAGCGTTGTGCTGCGGGTAGTTTTACCGGGGAACAAAAAGTCTGTGTCCCGGGCGGCACGCTTCATCGGTGCGGCCCTGGAAGTGACAACTGGCTGGGGTTGGGGAGGGGGGAACGCAGAGATGTGTGCAAACCGGGCTTGGTACTCAGGCCCCGCCAGGAGAGGACCTGGCTGGCGGGAGGCGGAAGAATGTCTGTGTTTACGGAACACTTTCCAGGGTCCAGGTTGTGTTCTGCCTGGAGCTACGAAGATGAACGGGGCATCCTTAAGAATCCTTATGGAGCATATCAGTGAGAGCGAGAATTAATTACAGCGAATCAGAAGGGCTGAAATAGAGATACAGTACAGTACTATAGGAGCATAAGTTACTGAGGTTCCGTGATGTGCTTTGCATTTAATGGCTTTGCAGGCAAGTCTAAGTCTTAACCACCTCTTGGGATGCGAGAATTCACATGAAAGTGTTTCATAAGCTTGGAAGAACTGGGCCAATGTAAAGTGCTATGTTAAAGTAATTTATGGAAATATGTAATATATATGCAGTCATAGGAATTGTAGTCAAGCAACTAATGTTACTGAGCTCCTGTTATCTGCCAAAGAGGAGAGCTCTGTTTGAGATGGGTGGGATGATTTTTTTTTTTTTCCCCAGGACTGCCCTTCTTCTCTTAGCCTGGGATTGGGTGGATGGAGGTGAGGAAGTAGTTGCAGAATTCAAATCGGTAGCTTGACCATTAATCTTAACCAATTCCCTATTTGATTCGTAATTGAGGACTTTATTTAACTTTGTATTTTAAAGTTACTATACAATAATAGTTGTATCTGTAGCTTCCTGATGTTATAACAGCAACAAAAAATTAGTTGAGAGAGCCTTTGAAGTTTTTGTAAACTTCAGAATTGAAAAAGTTTTGGAAACAGTTAATTCCTTTCAAGACTCAACTATTTGCTGAGGCCCCCACATTGAAATTTATCGATCTCTGATTCTTACTCAAGCAAATTGGAGACCTGGGCTCTTCATGCTGTTAAATCATCTAGGGGTGTATCTTGAGTTTGAAAGTGGAGAACTTGCTATCCTATAATATTAGTTGATGAAGAGAGAAGGTGTGGTTCGTCTTCCAGATGAAATCAGGCTGGCAAAGTTATTTAGTAGTTGGGATGGAAAAGTTTTGGGATTAATACATGATGACAAATTATTCACTGAATTTTCAGAGCTGAACTTGAGTCATGTGACACACAGAATTGTCTGTTTTCCAAAGTAGACTACACAGACCCAGCCGTTCATGGGTGAGATGCTTCTTCCTTTACCGTACTATTTCATTACTGTTGGCTATCACTCATATATCTTATTAGCAAGAGATTACTTGTTAGTATTGCTTTAAGCACAAAAGGAATTTCATGCAAGAGCATTGGGGAGATCTTAGCATTGCTCTCAGGTCTGGAGGAACCCCAGTTGTGAAAGTGGGCAGGAACCAAGGAGAGTTCCATAGTCAGAATTACACTTCAGAAGTAGTTGGGGTTGGTACCTGGGGAGTACATCACTTGTGATGCTGCCTGATAGTGCTCGCTGCTCCCACATGTATTACCAGCACCACGATCCTGGGCCCCGCTGCCGCTACTCTTGCCACTGCTGTTGGGAAACGGGGTATTGCTGGAAAGCTGCTTTCTTATCCATGCTTCTTTGTGGAATTAGCTTCTGATTCAAAAGTCCTTAGTGGTATCTTGGAGTGGCTGAGATTAGGTCACTGCCTGAATCCTAGCTGCAAGGGAATTTGAGAATGTGACTGTTAGGACTTCTTGGCTTTTAGGAAAGGAGGCAGGCTCTGTTCCCACCAGTATTCATAATAGTGGGGAAATTAGCAAACATAAAATAAGAAAAGGGATATCAGTAAATGCCAAGCATCCAAACAAAAACAAAAGGAGTTTTTCATAGTGACATGCACTCAGTAGTGCTTTACACAACACATTTACACTTACTTACTTCGGATTGCTAGGATATAGCTGATTTGTGCTGTGGTAGTAGGTGCTCTGTTGAACACTTCCACTTCAGTGGTTGTAGTATTTCTGCAGTGCCTTGTTGGGAATCAGTACAGTCTGAAAACAGTGTTAGAGAAATCAAACTTTGGTGTGTTGTTTCATGCAGTTTTCTACCACAATTTGAATGACCATCATTGGGATAAAGTTTCTGTGTTCTTTATCACCTTATAAGTAAAATTTGTTCATCATCAATTGTGAATTCCTCGAGAGTAGGTATTACATCTTTCAATTTGTGTAGCCCCAGTGCCTGACACATAGTAAGCTTTTAGTTTGTGTTAAGAACATCTGGCTGAATTTTCCTCTAGCTGTTCTTGCCTTTCTGCTGTCTTCCACTTGAATTAAATGGAATGAAAATATTCCTTTGTAACAGTAACAGGGGGGTGGCAACATAAAATAATAGACTTATAATTTATTACTTCATTCTACCTGATTTTCTTTGGTCTTGGGCTATTTGAAAAGTGCTTTAGTTCTTGCATATTTGTTTTTATTAATAGAAAAACTTGAATCTGCTTCATGGCTTCCTTTTTTCCTCTCAGTAAGGAAGGGTTTTTCATCTTGTGAGTAGAAAAAGTGAAGTATGTAAATTGGGGAAAGATTAAATGATACAAAGTTGTGACCTGAAATAATTTATATCATCCTTTTTCTGCAGTTGCTCACCTCTTTAATTTGACAGACCTGGAAAAGATTGACAAATGGGTTACTTGTGTTTTCTGTTTTGGTAAATGCAGCATATAAAATTCCATTGTAATTATTGTTTGTAGGTCTCCCCACTTTAGTGACCTAGTTCTCTAACCTTATATCCTTGGAGCCTAGCACACAGGAGATGTTGACTGTTGAAGTTGTGAAGGGATAGTCTTTAAGGAAATTTTAAGTCACCATATGTTTGTTTTTGTTTTCTAAAGTTCCAAGCTGCCTGTAGTTCCCATATCAAGAGCTTTCTCTGACATACTCTAATGATTGTTTCTTTTATGGGGTAAAGAGGATATGATATGTCTTCCTTCACTGAGGCTGAGCTTGAGGCTTAGTGCCTCCCAAGAGGAAGGAGGATGAATTGGAAATGGAAAGTCCATCTTTTCCAGCCCTGAGAAAGCCCTGGTGAATTATGGGAAGAAAGGGGAGAGAGGTAGGGAAAACAGTGTGAGAAATACATGTTTTTTGGGTTTTTTTGAAAAATCTTTTTTTTTTTTTAAAGTAATCTCTACACCCAATGTGGGGCTAGAACTCAAAACCTTGAGATCAAGAGTTACATACTCCACTGACTAAGCCAGCCAGGTGCCCCTGAAATACATGTTTTGAGCTTCCTTGTCTGGCCCAAGTTCTGAAATTGGGGTGAGTGTGTTAAATAGGTTGAGGGGAGGGTCAAAAGTAGAAGGTCTTTGGCTGTGCTCCGTCTTTGGAACCTTGAGAGGGGGTAGCTGTGCGGGTTGTTGCTCTGCCAACATGGGGATATAGTGCAGCAGTGGTGGAAGGAAGTAGCTAGACAGATGAGCCTGTGGTAGCAGGGGGTCTGAAATGCTCTCCTACCACTGGGAGGGCTGCAGAGGAGCTGAGGGACCTGGTGGCCCAGCAGGCATCGTACAACTCCAGACTGAAGGTCAGGATCATGGATACAGCGCTGGGAGTGGGCATGACATCCCACAGGTGAGGTAGCACCAGTCCAGCCGTGGGACATGATCGCCTCTTTGCCCCAGAGGTCAGTGAAGATCCATGGAGACACCAAGATCCTAGGTCTTCTTGCCACCATAAGGATATCCCTTAAGTCCCATCTGGAGAAAAATTTACCTGAAAGCATCTATTTAAACCAACTCTGGTAAGGAATTAAACTTAATGTCTGAATATTAACTGGAAGAGACTGAGATATTATTTGGCAAATTTTAAATTTCTGGCTATTTCCTAGGGTGAGTGTTCATGAGGAAGATTAGACTAATTATAGAAAAAACAGCCCCCATGTCCATGAGACAGATTTGATCAATTAATAGAAAATAAAGCAGCTACATTTGAGTTACGTGTGGGTAGATATGACCATGCAATAAAGGGCAAAAAAAGAACTTTGTGTTTGGTGAGGTGATGTTAATCCATCTTGGCGAAGGGCTGAACCTGGGTGGAGGCAGGAAGGAACACCTTCATATACTGAGGTAAGAAGAAGAGTGCCAGAGAAGTGGCAGCGATTGAACGGTTTGAGGACAGCTGGGGAAGTGGTTGCTGAGTAACTCAGTCTTAGAGAAGAGAAGGTTTGAAATACTCTTCTAGAAGAGTGAATTACCTAGTGGAATATAGTAGCATAGCTGGGAAGTGCTGAGGGTCCACTTAAAACTTGTGTTCATTTATTTAGAGTGAGAACAGTTAGCCTGGGAGTGCTTTTTTCTCTCTCCATGGTCAGCTACTTGACTATGAAATTTGGGTTTATCTAGGATTGCCAGGTTAGTTTAATGGCTGGAGAGTGGGAAAAGGAAATGGAAGTTTTAGGCAAGGGAGGTAATCAGGCACCATGATTTTGTTTGTTTGTTTATTTATTTATTTATTTTTATTAACATATAATGTATTCTTTGTTTTAGGGGTACAGGTCTGTGATTCATCAGTCTTACACAATTCACAGGGCTCACCATAGCACATACCCTCCCCAATATCCATCACCCAGCCACCCCATCCCTCC